AGGCCTCAATTCTTTGGCGCTGAGCCTTCCTTATGGTCCAACTTTCACAGCCATCCATTGCAACTGGGAAAACCACAGCCTTGACATTATTAAGCCTACCCCCAAGCAAGTGCAACACCAAGGCCTTTGCTTAAAAAGAGTGACGTTCACAATGGGTCACATGTGGCCTCTTTTAGTAAGATCACGATGCTAAAACTGCAGTTTGGAGGTTTTCCATAGCAGGCAAAAGCCATTTCTCAGGGAAAAATCAAAATTACTTTGAAAGTATAACGAAACATCCCTTAGGAGAGCATTGATTAAGGCCGAGGGACAGCATTAGCCTCATAATCCAAAGAGCTCCAACCTATTAGGAAAATCTACTTCCCCCTGACGCATGCAAGGCACTAATGACAATATCATCATAAGGACATATTTAGTTTGCTTATATTTCACTTTCTTCCTCAAGTTGCGGGTCAGCAACACAAAGCCCACGATATTTCTGGAGGGTGTCCTCAGGAAATCAACATTAAATTACATTTTAAGAAGCAAAGAACCGGAGCTCCTGCAAAACTGCCAACTCTTACAAAAAGCACGGGAGTGATGTTAGCAAAACCTTTCAAGGTTTTTTTGTTATTATTATTATTTTTAAATTCACGGATATCCGTGTCATCGCTGAAAATCTCACACTGACGCTGTGGGAAGTTAGTACTCACCCCTCTCCTAGAAAAAAGAAATATTTTAGGAAATATGAAAAGGGCAGAATGTTTCCCCTAAAAGGGAGGCAGAAACTCATCCCTCCCCCTTTGTCAATGGGCCATTAAGGCTTGAGCCAGTCTATTCTACATAACAAAGATCTACTTCCTTCAGGCACAGCCATAATAGGAATCCCAAAGCCCTTTCATTAAATCATCACCCAGCAAGGCTCAACCAAACCTGGGACTCAGGACAGCCTACAGAGTTGCCCCTGCATGGCCCCATGGGATTCTGACAACCAATCAGAATACAAGCTCAAATTCAAAAGCCCAGAGAAGGTATAAAATTCAGGCACTCTGAGCATCTCTTCCCTTTTTTTTCTTCACCCAACATCTTCAAGGCATGTGATCCTGTCCACCATTAAAAACCATCGTTCTAAATAAACCACCCTTGTTTCCAGTGTCTTTCTCCCCACTTGGAACTGAACCAAGAAGTTCAGAAGAAGGATATTTCTTCCAACAATTCTTAACGCCCAGAATGGCTATCTTAAAGTGAAGAGAAGCACTTCCTCGTTCCTCCTTTTCAGAACGAGTTTAGATAGGCTTTTCACTCACTCTACAAATCAAAGGGTGTCCAATTATGATGACTCGAAGACATGTGGACTTCAACTCCCAGAATTCCCCAGCCAGCAAAGCTGGCTGGGGAATTCTGGAAGTTGGACTCCACAACACTTGAAGTTACCAAGGTTGGACATCCCTGATGTAGATCAAAATCCAAGAGGCGAACTTTGCTGGAGCACTTGGCAATGTCGTTTTATAAAATTCACACTTGCCACTCTTTTAAAGACTCCCCTCCTCCATCAATATGACCCTGAGGCACAGAGTCTGGGATCAATTTTATGTGTTATTTATTCAAAACATTTGTTTAGCCCCCAATCTTATAACTAACTCTGGGCAGTTCATATAAAAAAAAACATGTTAAAAATTATAAAACGAGGCACATGAAAATCACTAAAAACAACAAAAACCTGGTGCCAAGTCATACAGCAATGATGGGGAACCTTTTCAGCATCAAGTGCCCAAGCACACATGCATATGCATGGTTCGGTAGATTTGATAAACTGGTTCTACCGAATTGGTGTGAACTGGTAGGAACCCACCTCTGCCGTCTACTTCCTGGTGGCAGTGATTGAGGCAAAGAAAGAGCTGGCAGTTGGGAGGCCCATGCGTTCAACTGTAAATCACGATGTACAAAAGTTTGTACAGATGGGAAGAAAAGTGACAACAGTTTTCTATCTCAGACACACCAAATGTTGGGAAATAAAAATAAATGAAATCTTGGAGAATTGTCAATTCCTCATTACAGTACATTCAAGCACAAACTAAACAGGAAAATGAGGCACCCGAGTAGAAATAGCAGATTTCTCACAGACAGCATACAAATTAATTAGAGCAGCATGTCTTTTCGCGTACAAACTTCAAAAGGTGCAAAATAGATTTCCCAGCTATTGGCAAACAAAATAGCGACAATGATTCTAAAATGACTTGAGCTTCCATTGATAAAACATCAGTTGTCACCCTGCCC